GTTTACTGATATGAGATTAAAAAACCAAAGCATATAACAAAAGGGTAGAATAAGAATAGTACAATCTCTTCTCCAGGGCGAGCACAATCAATCAGATCATTCAAAAGTATGACTTCCTTGTGTCTTGGCAATCTGCCAGCTGGAACAATTCCAGGGCTTTCTTGAAGGGTAAGCTTTTGGTAATTTCTGTATATAGTCTGTAACAATCAAAGTAGTATATAAATATATCAGTATAGTGTATATAGATTATTTTTTATGTTACCTGCTCAATGTTGACAGTGAATGGACCCTTTGATTGGCATTCTGGGCATGAACCAACTCTCACTTCTGAATATGAATTTTGGATAAAAGGCCCTAAAACTGTTCCACATTTGTTACAATCATACTTCACTTGCTGCAACTGAGGAAAAACTCCAGATCTTCGGGTCACAACTCCTCCTATACGGATCATTGTGTTTAAATGGATTTGCCTGTGAGAAACATTCAAGATTGTTACCAAATGGGTATATTTCAGTTAACATATAGCAGCTTTTAATCAACCAAAAAGGTTATGTCATACCTTATGTTGCGAATTTGGTCATAAACAGGTAGGTTGGTTACCCTGACATAGATTTTCTGGTGGATACTTTTGTAGTTTGAATGTATACTGAACACAACTTTATTAGCAACTTCCTCCATGACTTCAAGAACAGACTGAGGTGCATCTGCAAGCCAGATGGCGATATTTGGGTGGATATAGATAAACTGTTTGTAATCAATCTCCAAACTGCACTTGTTGGCTGCAAATATGAATAACTTTATCACATTGGGAACTTTTACTAAGTTAAAAACTAGGGAAAAGTGAGACACTTTACCTGACACCATCTCATTTATCTGGTTGAGATATAAAAAACCATGGCTTTCATTTTTTGGGTTCTCATAAGTAAGGATGAACTCTTTGAACTTCTTGGCAATAAAGCGGCGTACTTCATCTCGAGTAACCCATTCCCTAAGTGTTCCCTGAACTCGGTACATCTCAAACTCACCTTCATCGTTTTCATCATCCTACATAGAAATGCCAAGAAATGATAGTTCAGATTATGAATTATAAGATGAGATACTTCTGATTAATGAATGAGAAACGTGAACGCAAATAAGATAGAGACACCGCACCTCATACTGATCATCATCTGTCGCATCAGTCATGGGAACATCCTCTCCTGAGTTAATCCTTTGTGATCTGCCAGGAGAACTTTGCATTGCATCAGTGTCATCACCACCACGTGGACCAGGAGGAGCTCTAGTCCTTTTTGAAGGTCTGTAGCTATCATCATCGGTATCTGTAACCAAAAGTACAAAATTGAACCTTGTATTCATATCCCTAATATAGGCTTACAAGTGTAATTCATGAAACATGACCAAAATAGTTAACGGGCATTTGATAACCAGACAAAGTTAAAACTTAGTTGTCCAAGAAATCAGATATGAAAAACAAAAATGGCTAGTAATCTTTAGTAGTATGAACACCTTACAAATAGCCGTAGTGTTCTGCTTATTGGTTAACTATGTGAAATCCATATCACTTATAACAATCTAAAAACAAATCATTGCAACCCGTAGACCAGAAACAAGAAGTAAACTTGGACATTTAAGTGAAAATACTTTATTATTAAAAGGTCTGGAAATAAAACAGCACAAAACAGAAACCCTAACCGACCTTGGTCGTTGAGAAGATGGGGGAGCTTTGCCCTTGACGCAACACCCTCCCTGGTATCAAGCTCAATCTCTGCAGCCCTACGATCCGCCATAATCTGATCCAAATCTCTCTCGTCCTCCAGAGAATCGTCCAGCCCAAGCGACTCGTATTGATCATGTTCATCCATTCTCCGGTAATCGCTATAAGGCGAAAAAAAAAGAGAGATTTAACTGTCTGTGAATAACACAAATACTGCAAGAAAAAAACGGTGGTAAAATGAAGAAACAACTTACTCTATGTAATTGTCGTTGAAAAGATCTTCACCTTCCCCTTCATCCTCGTCGCCATCGTCAAGCTCATCCCTGATGATATTTGGATCAACGGCAGCCTCATCGTCGTCAAAATCAGAGTAATTCTCTGAGGTACGGCTATTGAAGGGAAGCTGATCTGTGTTAAATCCAGCAGAGGTGGGAGAATCTGGTGTAGACGGTGGATTCCCATTAAATTGACTGGAATTTGGGTTACCGCCTTGATCTGATGAAGCTGGCGACTGAGTAGGACGGTTCTCTCCTCCGGCATTTTCTCCCGCCATTTCGTCCGCTCTCCTGCGTTGTTCTGTGAGTGTGAGCTCTCCTCTGCACTACTCCCCTTTTAGGTCATACAAGTCTTGGCGGGAAATTTTCGCGCCAGTATCAGGCAGGCCCACCCCAACAGACTCAACCCAAAAAGATAAACTATGTCGTACACGGGCCAACCTTAATCCTTGGGCCTTGTCTTAGGGTAACAACAAGCGGGTACAGTTGTACAAAAGTAACCATGGTTTTTTGGTATATTTGGTATTTAAATCTTTTATGTTTATAACTCAACTTTTATATTTGATATTAAATTTATTAAATTATATGAATGATCCGTTTGGTTTAGGATATTCTATATGTTTGGTTCATAAATTTTTTTTTCAATCGAAGGGATTCTTAAACTTTATTTTGTTCCACATTGTCTCTATCATACATTAAAGGACTCTTCTATCTTTATCCATATTTTCTAATTTTTTATTACTTATTTGTTACTTATAATTTTATAAAAAGAATGGGCTCACCATGCCACCACCCCTCCGACTTATCCATTCCTCCCTTACAACGCCATGATTTAGTTGTTTTTTACAAGACGATTCATATACATTCATCTATGTAACACAAGGAAAACCATAATTACAATCAAATGAGTAAATAAAAGCATAATGCAGAAATCTGATAATAGAAACATGTGAGATGGGTAATAGAAAGAGCTTTATGGCATATGTGGTGCAGTCAATAGTCACACCATAACATACTAATCACCTACTTCGAAAATGGGCCGGTCTTTTGAGTTTAGTGATCAATATTTTACCCGGTTTTTCCCTAATTTTATATTCTAGCTCCATTGGAGCCCAAACATTTGGTGAATCCAAAGACTATTAATAATTTCTTATAAAAAGCTACATGTGTTTAGACACATTCAATTCTTTTGATCATACACCATTTTGTCCCAAGCATGCAAGACTAGGTTTTTATCTTTTGTATCTCTCCGGTGAGAATCGAAATGTCATGTATATAAACATGGTGTCAGTGTCCTTCTACCATAAGAAGTATATTTTAGGATGGCTTAACGAAAGCTTCCTAATCAATGAGAATTTTGCCTAAATACAAGCTATTTTAGTATTGAGTAGAACCATGTTGTAGAAGATTGGTCTCGTGTACCCGACAATAACGTATTTTGTTTGTTTTTTTTTAGTGGATAATGATCAATTACTTGATTCCTACATTGGTGAATATTAAGTTACAAAGAAAAACCTTTAGTTTAATAGCATTGAGAAAATTAGGGAAATTAGAATTTTCTATTACCCATTCACTCATTTGTTCGTCCCAATATGAGATATTGAGCACTATACTATAGGGTTAGGTAGGATTCTTCTTCACATCATCTTCTATTCTTCTTCGTCGACAAATAACTTAGTGATGTGGTTGTGCCCCCCCCCCCCCCCCCCTAAAAGTGGAAGGATTGAGAAAAATCTTTATATTTGAGAACCTTGATGGCCTAAAAGTGGAAGGATTGAGAAAAATCTTTATATTTGAGAGTGAATGGTCGTTTGATAGTTGTTGACTGAGTTAGTACCGACTTAGTTAGAATTTATGTCTGAGTTCATATCTGAATGAAACGATATTGTTTAATTATATCTCTAACCGCCTGTGATGAATGGTGATAAATGACCATATTACCCCTTGATGAAAACTTTATATAGTCATTGACATTTTTTCATGCTTGATTTACCCCTAAATTATTTGAAATTGTTCATCTTTTACCCTTATGACCGGTTGGTTGTAACGAGTCATAAGGGTAAAATATGAACAATTTCAAATAATTCAAGGGTAAATCAAACACAAGAAAAAGTTCAGTGACTAAATATGAACAAAGTTAAAAGTTCGTTACCCTTTCAAGTCATTATCCCTTAAAATGAAAGGGATGAAAAACTTTCAAAGTACAAAAATCAGTAGCCAAAATGTAAATATTGGAAATTGGCTTAAGCACATGGATGAAGTCTAAGTTTGCATTCTGATTGTTCTTTTGTACAGATTCTTGTAAGACATTGCAAGGAAATAGCAACCTACTTTACGTTCGTTATCAATAGCAATGTGTTTATATTGTCTTTTACTCGTAATGGTATCGTATTTATATTTATCACTAATAATAGCACTATGCAACCTGAAAACTTAAAAAATATACTTTATTTATTACCCAGAAAATAGCAATATATACTTATATTTCTTTACCCTAACAACAATGTACTTACATTTCTTTACCAATAATAACAATATATAATCTACCACTTGTAAGCATTTTAGAATTTTCATGATATGTAGGTATTATCAGTAAATAAATTAAAATACATATTCTTATGGGTAAAAAAAATAAAGTATTTTTCTCGTATTGGTCTAGAGTAAAGTATGTTGCTATTTTACACAAGTTGCATGGTTCTTGAAAACATCAAAGACAAGAGAGAGCATCAACACAAGTTTACAATGATCAAACCTAACCTTCTTCACATGTTCTCTTTTATTAGCTATTTTTCATGAATACAAGGTGACCTTACAATCCAAGACAGATAGATTATACCATGTTACACAACAAGTCTTTAGTTGGAAGATACTCAAAGTGACAATTTTTCTTAAAAGATCAATACAACATTCACCAAGAACTTTTAACCTTTAATTTTCATTCTTTTAGTCAACAAGATGGGTAAACACATTTAATCAAAAACCCAACTTTATACTAATAAATTGCATCATATTCATACCTGATCAAGATTTTTACAGGTTCCACAAAGATTACACTCCATTACGCTAGGAGTTGTGGTAACAGATGGAGGCAGGGGAGCCAATGTGCCCCAACAGTTCTTTCGATCACACATGTAAGTCAGGAAGAAATAAGCATGAGGAAAGTCATCTTCTCCTTTCATCGCATCAGTGTCTTCTTCATCTTGCATTTGTTCATCAGGGTCCTCATCCATAACACCGGAGGTGTCCTCAGCTTCTTCTTCATCAATGGCATCAACTTCTAATCCATCATCGTCACTTTCAGACCAATTCGCCTCCACCTTGCATCGATCACAGTCACAGAGGAACCCGTAATCATCCCTGAGACTCTTTTGACGTTCTGCGTACTTAAGATTCACTGGGAAATAACTCAAACAGATTTCCCTTCCTTGTGGGACATCATGGATCATTCTAATGGTGATGTCAGTGTTGTTACCTGAGGCCGATCCAGCAACATCAATATAATCAAACCTGCAAGCATTTGGAAGGCAATCATGGTTGAAGAAAGATGCCATTGGATAGATCCCGTATGCCCTGACGGATCTCCCTTCCCTTTCTTCCGAAAAAGGTTCCATTAATCCGAAGGCGTTGAGCTTGTCCTTGGCCAGCAGAACAGAAGTTAATTCCAAAGAAAACTCTAATTCGAGGGGCGGAGGTGGGCAGATGGAAGAGATAAGCGAATGGAGAAAGGTCGCAGAGGAATCCGCATCGGGCTGAGAAGGAACGGAGCCTTGAAGGGACGACAACATCCGAAACCTATCTGGGGAGACACGTGCGAGGTTGTAAGCAGAAACCAGAAAACGAGCCTGGAGCTGGAGGTCTAGTGGTTGATGGTGGTCGGAAAAGTATTGCCGGAGCCGTATTAGCGCTTGGCAGACCCACGGGGTGTGGGAGGTGGTGGAAGCGACGGATTGGCATTCGAATGTACAGAATCGGGATCCGCAGGTGGAGCAAGAGACCTTTTGCGGCTGCTGTGAGATGCTGGTGAAGCAATGGGAGCAGTAGCAATTGTTGTTTTTCTGGTGATCGTCCGAGTGAAAAGGAAGAGCAGAGTAAAGAACGATAGGGGAGTCCCTGAGAACGATTTCACCTCCTTTTAAAGGGCGTAGAGCCACCATTGCCCTTCCCCTTCCTTCTATCTCAGTCACGCCAATCGCCGCCGTCTCCATCTATCTTTTCCTCCGGCTACTAGTTGCAGGTCCTAGGTTTTAAGAAGGGTTTTCCCGAAAATCTTCTTCATTTTCTATCTACGCCCTTCGTTAAAATAATATGATAAATGAGCCCCTTAACTATGACAAAAGTTCAAGATTGATGAAAGAAAGTCGTTTCAAATTTTAACCTCGTGTCACTTATTTTCACTTTTCACATAATCGGCACATTCATTTTATTTTGATTTCAAGGGTGAGCGGCTTGAGTTGGTTCTTTAATAAACCAAACACAAAACATAAATTTTGGGGTTCGGGTTTTTGGTTTTTCATTTAGGGTTTTAGGGTTAAACCCGTGGGTTATCGATTATGATTTCACGTTTCAAACCATATAAATAGATTAATACAATAAATGTAAAATTTTAAACTTATCGCTTTCTTATAACAAATAATTGCCAAGCAGAAACAAAAAACAACAAAAGGTGGGATTTTAATATGTTTCCCACAAACCACAAATTCACTGAACTTAATATGCATATTTACAAATATTACCACTAAAAAGTTAAGATATATCATCTCAAAAGGTAGGATTTTAAAAAAATTAAGCACGCTTGATGACTTCATCCTGATGAGTTCATAAGAGAGATGGTTGTAAATAATAATAAAAAAAATGAACACATGCTCTTATGGTGGTTAGCTAAAGTTAGATGTGATAAGCAGTTGTTGTTGATGACTAAATAAGAAAATCATTATTTTAATAATTTATTAGATTAATGGCAGTTTAAAGTAGTACTTAAACAAAGTGCTTAATTACCTTTCAAATTGGGAAGTAATGGTAAAATCCAGATGTGATGTATGTAGCCTTTTATTAGTAGCATGAACATGATGTGATTTGCATGCCTCAAAAGAAGATACAATATCCTAAATTTTCTTTTCCCTTATAGAGGTAAATAGAGTTATTAACTTCAATTTGTTCATATAATGATATATACATGGAAAGAGAAGAAATAGCAATATACTCTTATATACTTGTTTATTAATTATAACATCCTATTTTCGTTTCTTTCCATTACATCGTTGTACTTCCAATTGTTTTTCAATTACGACATTGTACTTTAGAAAATCTACCCAATTTTAGCATTCTACTTTCCACTTTTTTCCTAACTATATATATACTACATTGTACTTTGGGAAAAAATTTGTTTGCTTTTTAGGCGAAGAGTGCAAATTTCATTGAAAAGATGTTACTTCTCAGCCTCCTATTCAATTTCAGCCAAGTAAACCACTTATTTCTCAAATTTAAGAAAAATAAACTTTATAAAAACCTATCTAGTTGCATATGTGCTAAGTAGAGATATAATGATATATCTATGGGGTGATCCTTTCTTTTAAAGTCATTTTTCTGAATATGGCACAAAATCCTTTTTCTTGTTTTTTTAAAGATTGAACATTTGTCACCTCATTCTTCACTTTTTCATTATAAGCTTTCTTGTCTTTTTCTATTTCTTTTGATCTTATGTTGTATCCAACAAGCTCCAAGTTGTTATCTTGTACACTTGTTAGTTTCAACATAATCTTCTTGAAGCTTCATTAGAACCTACTCCAATAGTTTCTCAAGAATTACCAAGCTCTTTGCTTTCAGATCTTTTTAGAGCCAGACACACCTCATAACTTTCATATTTTCTAATCCATTTCATGTGTTTCAAATCTCAAATCAGTTTCATCTGCTTTGCCTACAACAACCAATTTGATACGCCAATTAGGGATACTTGTTCCTTTTCCATGAACTTGATTTGCTTAACATTAAAATTGCTCATCTGCTCCATTTAAACTACATGATATGCACTAAAACAATATATGAAGTCATTCTTGGACAACGCAAAAATAAGATAGCATATTCAGGGTTTGTCCCACTGTTATCATTTGTCATTATTATATACCACTTGTTGGTTGCCATAGTTGTAGTATGATGTTATCAATGCCCTAAAAGAGGTAAAGAAGGTGTTAGGTGTAAAAATCTCAAAATAACAATACTGGGATTTATAATGTAAGCATAAATACATACCTTCCTAGTTGAATTGTCATCGTTTCTTTTTCCATTTCCATAGTGTATGAACAGAAGCAATGAAGGAAATGGAATGGAATTCAATTACACTCCTTGTATATTTCAGTTTGGTCAATACATCTCATTTATGTACCAAAATATAATAAATTATTGCTCTTGAATATGCATCTAGAAATTGTATTGTTGTTTTATCTGTTTAGATGATCTGATATAGAAAGAAGACAAGGATACTTGTGATCTTGATTATTTTTATGATTGTATTACTTGGATTCCTTTACATCCTAATGGGTTATGGCAAGCAAAACAAAGTAACTATGTCGTGATGATTCTTTTTATTATTTTTAGGATTGTAAAATAAGAAGAATTAAATAAAAATAGCAACATATTTATATTTTTAAATCAAAACAACATACATATATTTTAAACCAAAAACAACAGTGTACTTTTATTTAACCCAAAACGATAATGTACTTTTAATCAAAAATAGAATCGATATTTTTCTTAAATTACATTATTCTGAAAACCATGCATGGTTTAAGTTTTAACTTTTAACCTTTGTTTGAAAGCACTACTACCTAAGGCATATTTTTAAGCCTTGGATGGATTGACCACGTTGTTGTTTTTTCTTATTTTTATACATCAAGATTACTTAAATTGATTAAAATTAGCATTTTCGTAATGAGTTTTATTGAGGTTGAGGTTGACTTCATTTTGTTTTAAGTTCTTCTACAGCGACAAGATCATACATATACACACTAACACACACATTATATCAAACAGGTCTTAGATTACCAATGGATCACTGGTGATGACTTTAAAAAGACTGGATCATGATTTATTTATGTAAGTGAAGCTCAAGTTGTTGAAAAGTTAAGTTGTAATCATACTAGCATGAGGTCTCCAATCGTAAGGGGTATCCGATGGAGAATTTTCTTTAATATTATACTACTAAAAAAATTAGAAGACAATAATAATAATATATTAATTAAGTATAATTGGATGTTACAAATCCCATTTATATTATTAACAATAGAAATTGTGTTTGTTAAAGTAGTTGACTCTTTTTGTTTTTAGCGGGAAGAAATTTCCTTAATAATATTTTATAAAAAAATGTATGAGGCTTAATTTAATTTTTGCACAGGCCTCCAAAATCTCAACGACAAGCCTGTATCATATATAAGGTGATATATATATATATATATATATATATATATATATATATATATATATATATATATATATCACCAACAATTTGAACAGGAGCAACATCCATCTTGGAAGGTATGGAATTGGTAAGCGTCTCTCATTATAATCATAAACTAGGGATGAGCAACGAGTCGAAACCGGAACAGATTGGCCTGAAGACCGAAAATCATGAATTACTTTACCCGAAAACCATACCGTTTTTTAGGTGTACCAGGTCCGGGTTCGATCCAGTCTGGTTCCGGGTACTAAACTGGGTTTCGGGATTTAGACCGAATTAGACTTTGGCGGTGTTGTTTACGGTTTCGATCTGGTCATGTTCGGGGCATCAAATTGGGTTTCACATCTTTGTTGTTTATGATTTCAGATTTTATTTGTCATGTTACTCTCAAATGATAGAATCTTACTACGTAAAATCCATTATTCGTATCTTTGTTGTTTTCGACGAAAAAATTACATAAAAGAAGATGAATGCAAAGGTAGTAAGTAGCATTATATCAATCTGATTTTTTTTTAAATCGATGTCTCGTAAAATTATATGTTACTCAATGTATTGTAATGAAATAAACGTAGTAAACTTTATGTTGTGTTCTTCAAAACAAATAAAATATATTTTGGTGAAAAGAATAAAGTATTGTTAAAATCAAGGATAATGTCATTATAGCCCAATCAACTATCGTTATTTATCTTATTTGGTCACTAAAGTATTTTTTTGTTCAATAGGTCATTAAACTTACAACTTACATGTCTATTAAGTCGCTTTTGTTAATTTTTAACATATCTTCCGTTAACCAGTTATTATAATTTACAATAATGGTCCCTATGGTTTCAATTTCTTTTGTGCTTGATCCTTTACCAACATCGTTCATCACATGCACCCCACCGTTCACTTCCGGCAGCCACCAACGTTCACCTCAAGCAACCCCCTCGAACAAGAATGGTCTGAAGGTCGATTTTAAGTAAAAATACTATACATTTGATAGAAACTCCAACTACTTGAATCCTTTAAATCGACCAAAAATATGTTAGATCACTAAAAAGGGTCATCGTAGAAGTTTGCAAATTGCATTTAATAATATTTGGTGAAATATTTGCATGATCAGTTTTAATATAGGGTTCTTGTCGCAAATAAAAATATATACGTTGGTAGTTAGTGAACTGCATTTAGTGTTGTATTGTGTAATAATTTCATTCGGATAATCTAATTCAAATAAACATGTCATGTATATACTTTGTGAAGGTAAGGAGTATTGATGCATTTTTTGTAAAAAAAAGTTAACTAACGAATATCTTATTGGTAATTAATTTATTTTTTTAGTAAATATACATTCTTACACTTTCATTAATGTTGATTATGAACATGTGTGTGTGTGTATATATATATATATATATATATATATATATATATATATATATATATAAAATACATTATTTAAAATTGAAACTCGTTGAAATTATTTTTTATTAAAATTAAAATCCATTGAGATTTTTTTGTGAGTAATCGTATGTTATGATAATAGTTAACGGGTTGTCTGAGGTGAAGGGTGGTGGTTGCCGGAATTGAATGGTGGTGATGTCGGTGATGAATTGTTGAAACATCCCAAAAATATAGTCCAAAAATTTCGTTTTAAACCATTTAAGAAAACCCATAATTCATAACACAACATAATATAATCCCAAATCGTGTATCTCAAACATCATATCAAAAATATTGTATCAAAACCATGTATCAAAATATCAGAGTCTAAAATATCACAGGCTGAAAACTATGGTGTGTCTCATGCAGTCATCCCGAGCTCTTCCCCTTGCTACCGGAAGTACCTGAAACCAAAACTGAAAATTGTAAGCACGAAGCTTAGTGAGTCCCCCCAAACTACCACATATCATACACATAATAGCATACATTGGGCCTTGCCCACTACATCGGGCCCCGCCCGACATCGGGCCCCGCCTGGCATCAGACTGAAGTCCGGCATCGGGCCCCGCCTAGCATCGGACCGAAGTCTGGTATACATATAACATATCAACAAACATGTAATATAACACTTAACATAAACATATAAACTGAACCTTCCTCGGGCTTGCCCCGGCATCGGACCAAGATCCAGAACATATAACACATAGCATATAAGTAAACATTCCTCGGGCTTGCCCCGACATCGGACCAAAGTCCGGAACACATAACAACACATGCAAGAATCACAAATACATCAAGCATAGAAACCTTCATCGGCCCCCGCCCGGCATCGGACCGAAGTCCGGAACACATAACATATCTACTACATCGGGCTAACCCCGACATCGGACCTAAGTCCGGCATACGCTAACATACATAAACGGGCCGACCTTGGTGCCTTAGACCCGTTCTTACTGGAAGAGGACTCACCTCTCAAGCTGGCTGTTGATATCTCAAGTGAGGAATCTCTGATAGCTGCTTCAATGACTCCCCGGCTATAATTTCACAAGGAACACTTAGTCAAAAACTGAAAATGCTTCTAAGGGTAAAATGACCATTTACCCCTGGTCAAAATCAACGCTCTGGTCAAATTCAAAGTCAAGGTCAACTTCCAGTTGACCTAACTCGTCAAGTTACCTCCTAACTCGTCGAGTTCCTATGCTATTCAGACTCGTGATAAACCGAGTCAACTCGTCGAGTCCCTTCACATACTCGTCGAGTTCCACCTGGTATGGAATCGGGACAAATCGACTCAACTCGTCGAGTCTCCCTCTGGACTCGCCGAGTTCCCTTGTCTGTTTGGGCTATCTTGGTGGATTAAGCCCCTACACTTCAGATCCAAGTTTCATACTTCACATAAACCCCAAAATGTCCTTTTAAGGGTAAAGTTTCCAACTTTAACCTTTAATACCTCTTCTTAATGGGTTTAGCTCAAACCCTAACTCCTTGGGACCTAAAACTTGGTCCTTAAGCCATCCATACACCGAACTAATACTTACAAGCACAGATCTAAACCCCTAACACTACTTAGACACGTAAAGCTCCCACCTTTCTCTTCATGCATGGCCTTTTTGGGCTAAAAAGGCCAAAATGACACTCTATGGCTTGCATGGGGGCTCTAATGGCATAAAGTTTACACCTTTATGCCATACCAACCCTTCAAGGTCTTAGATCTTGAAGATTACCCACTTGGGTCGTCCATTCTCCAAAGGTTATCATTTTTGGGCCAAAACCTTCATAAAAGATGAAGGAAGAGATCTAATGAACTAGAGGTCAAGATAGAAACTTGATTACCAGAAAATGTAGCCAAAGAAGTGTAGTTTTTGGATCTACTCTCTTCCTCTTGAGCCTTCTAACTCCTTCTTCTTCTTCACGCTTCAAGAACACACAAGATTGCTCACAAATGGCTCACACACTCACAAAATGCTCTAGGGTTTCGTGGATTAGGGTTTGGGACTTGGAGGCTGGAAATGAGGCCATAAGGCGGAGATTAAGTTGCTTAAATAGGGTGCAAAACCCCAAAATTAGGGTTTCATTCTGGCAGACCTACTCGCCGAGTTGAGGGCTCTCAACTCGTCGAGTAGATGGCTTTAAACCCGCGTCCAATCCCGCTTCTACTCGACGAGTCTGGGGCTTCCAACTCGTCGAGTAGCTCTACAAAATAAATAAAATATAATTTAAATATGTACCAGGAACGAGGCATTACAATTGTGCTAGTGTGGGACCAACCACGAAAGAAATTGAAATCATAGGGACCGTTCGTGTAATTTATAATAACTGGTTAACGGGGGATATTTTAAAAACTAACGAAAAGGACTTAATTGACATATAAGTACAATAAGTTTAATGACCTATTGGACAAAAAAATACTTTAGTTAGTGACCAAATCGGATAAATGACAATAGTTGATTGGGCTATAGTGACATTTACCCTAAAATCAATTAATCATAAATCTTTTTATTACATATTTCACTTATTTCATATTCACCTCAAAAATTCTTATTTGACTTTTATAATCATTAGAGGACGAGAACAAGAGTGACTTAAATCCTTAAAATTCATTTATTTCTATTTGGAAACATCCTAAATATATAATTAGATTATTAATAAATATTTGTAGTTGATATCTATAAAATTAATTAAGGTGAAAATGTTTTCGGTTCAGTCTGGGTTAAATCTCGTATTTTGGGTACGGTCCGGTCCAAACCCGAAACCCGATTAGTGGTAAAAAAAACATGAAAATCGACCACTAATATGAATATTCGGTCCTCATAAAGAGATCGCAAGTGCTCAATGTGATAAAAATCGCGATCCACTTCATCCTCAACAAGAGTATCATCCTCATTAAGAGAATATATAACTGCATCATGAAAGCACTTCATCATTTCATGAGTGGCATTAATTCTTGGATTACTTTTGTCTGCCGAAGCATGTAAACATGCTACACCCTTGAGTTCCGTTCAGCCCAACCTGCGTTGTTTTATATTCCTTTTTTCCATCACTTCACGGACTAATATGACTCCAAAACACTTACTCACATTAGTCGCCATGTCGTCAGGGATCAACTCTGCAGCTCGGATGCCTAGAGTATAGTTGTTTTGAGCATGACAAGCAATGAGCAAGGTGGTCCAAGCAAAGACATCACATTTGCTTGGTGTTGATACAATGAAACTTATAGCTTCATTTAATCGTCCAACCTTGGTTATCATATTAATGATACACATATAGTGCTATAAACCATGTCTGACACCATTCTCTTTCATTAACTCGTATAAGTAGTAGAACTTGTCTTCCACAAATCTCTCATGTCCACGCACACCAAGAACACCAACGAAAGTCACACTATTAGGATCTTCCCCAATTCCAACATTTCATGAAACAAATCCAACGACTCGTACCCAAAACCATGAAGGCAGTATCCACATATCATCATATTCCAGGTTACAATATCACAATAAGTCATAGAAAAAAACACCTCTTCAACAGCTGTAATGTATCTAGTCCTCAAATACATGTAAATCAAGGTATCCTCAACATTCTTATACTTGATTAATCCAGTCTTCTCTGCAAGTGAATGTAGCAGACCTCTGTATGTCGTCGAAAATAATTCAACATTAACACTCAGTAGAACACAAAAGGTAGATTTGCTTGGAAAAACATCCTTACGGCGCATTTTGGAAAACAATTTCATTGACTCCTCGAAGAACCCGTGTTCCGAGTAAGCAACAAACATTGATGTGTATATATCCATGTTTCGAGGTTCAACCATGCCAAAAACTTTTCTAGTACTTAAAATCTCTCCACATTTCCCATATATATTGATCATTGTACTGCATATAGACTCATCAAACTCAACATCACTATTTACCAGCTTGTTGTGAAATTGACACCAGAAGTAAAAATCTAAAAAGATAAAAAAAAAATAGCAATGTAAGTAGCTTTGTTCCACTTCCACACCATATCTTCTTCAGCCAACTTTCTCCTTAAGATATATATATATATATATATATATATATATATATATATATATATATATATATATATATATATGTGTGTGTGTGTGTGTGTGTGTGTGTGTTTATTATAAGCCCACTTGTTTTGGGTTCCTTTTTGTCTTTATCCCATTATGTTTAGGGTTAGCTTAGATTGCCTTTATATTCCCCATCCTGTTGCTCTTTGCTTTTATGCTTTTCAAGAACCTTGTAATTATTGGATTAGGTGTCTAAGCCCATAACTATAATCGATATGTACTTGACACGAGAGTAGCATGGTCCATTTGGGTTGCATTCACCAGAACAATCTGATAGGATGGACATTTGAGAAAGAGGTTATTTATGATTTATTAATATACTATAAGTATAATATATTAATTGAGAAATCATACTATTTAATTAGTATTGATCAAAAATTGATTTGGAATCGATTTAGTGATCAAAAGAGACTAACTAAATTAACGGGGACTGATTATGTAAATTAGTGATACATATGGTTTGGGCTATTGATCCATGATGGGCTAAGTTTATGTGAGAGTCCATGAAGAGTTAATCCACATGAGTTATCGATCATAAGCCTACGTGTAAGAATTAGGGTTACATATGACTCTTGGAATTCTAACACTATATATGTAACCCCTTAGACCCCAAAATCGGATGCACAAGCCATATAGCAAGAGTATAGCTGATTTTATGGTGCTCCTAACATCTCTCTCAAGTCCTCCAATTGTTGGTGGTGTTTTGTGAAGCATTTGAGGCATCACACTTGAGGTGCTAAGCTCTTAAAGGCCAAGTAATACAAGCTACATAAAGAGGTAATTTTCTAACTAGTTTTTATGATTCATATATCAAGTTGTATGTTAGATAGGCTTCATACTTTGGAAAACTAAAGTTGTATGTATAACTAGAGAAAACTTAGATCCAAAGCATTAGGGTTGTATGTGCACCATAGGGATGTTATAGTGCTCAAAACCTATCAGTGTTATCAGAGCCTATGGTAGTTTTCTGTTATATTAATGCATTGGTTGATTTTCAAAGCTGAAAAAGTCACATTTCTGGCCTCTGATTGATGAACTCGACGAGTCCAATGATCTGACTCGACGAGTTCACTCACAAACTGGAAACTCGACGAGTTCAGTTCGTGCACTCGACAAGTAGGATCTTCTGCTTGCAGATTTTCGAGCTTTTTGGGCAGAATTGGATTAGGATCATTACCACAAACTGTTTTGTATCATAAAATCAGTTTTTTTCTGATATGGTAGTGATTATCCTCATACAATTAAAAGATAATTGTCAAAATTTCAAAATTATTGTTAGTTTATATGATAAAGCTAATTGTTTGTAAATTCTTGATTTAATATTATCTTGCCTTATGAGTTAAACTTGACCTAAATGTATTTGAAGAGTTTCATAACTTGTCCTCAAGTTATGAAATATGAAAAGTATCATTCATTTGATATTAAACTCATAAGTTATGGAAACCAAAAGTTTTGAAGAGTTACAAAACTTGCCCTTAAGTTTTGAATTTATAAAGTCTCACTTATGAAACATTTAATTCTAAACGTTAGAATTTTAAAAGTTTAAAATTCAACCCTTATACTATTGTAATATTAAAAGTTAATACTTATATATATGTATAAGACAAGTCAGTCTTACTGTTATTAGGCCTCATTCGCGAAGCCGATCTATAAGAGGGGTATAAGGAAATTGCCTATAAAATGGCGATTGAATGGGTGTCCACTCTCACCCACCGTTTCCTTGAGTGCTGGAGGGTCGTTAGCCGAACGGGTAGGATAGGACATTAATTCTCATTAAAAGTATAATGATAATTATAAATAACTAAATGTTTTTTATAAAATTCTCAATCTTAGTTACTTTAGGAAAAATGTGAAAATGATGTTATTCCATGAAATTGCACTATGCACCTTGCCAAGTTGTTAGTGGAGAGTGTGTGGTTAACCGACACACTAACTTGGACTAACAAGGGTGGCAAAGGGTAGCTTAATGTTTATCATATATCAATGGAGCGTGTGTGGTTAACCGGCACATTGATTAGGTGATAAATGACATCAAGAGTACCAAGTATATTTGCATGGTTATTCACACCTTGTTTGTGATCCTCGGTATCCCAGTCACAAACTTGAAGGGCATAATCGGGATTTAAACATGCCATTAAAAAGTTCAATGAATCTCAAAAGAATCTAGGAATTTCAATTCATTTAAAACTTAATAATTAATTTCGTTTTTCATGGTGGAAATTGGTAAATCGTCATTTACCTACCATCAAATATTTTGCAATTGGATTACGGAATCCCTCTTCCGAATTGTAAAATATTGTGTTGGGTCCTAGCCTTAATATTTCATTTGGGTGTTATATTATGGATTTTTTTATCTAATATAAACTGTCTTTTTTTTCCGCTGGAATGTTGAACAGGAACTTGGATTCACTTGGGAGCACGAGAGTCCCATGAACCTTAAGTACCTCCATCTTTTCCAAGACCATGAGTTATATTCTTATTCTTGAATTTCGGGACGAAATTCCCTCTAACGGGGGGATGATATGACAACCCGGAACTTTTATCTCGCTCACTTAGTCAATTCAATCAAAGTTAAACTGGTTTTGTTGACTTCTTGCACTACTTGAGGGTTCGTTTAAGTGATTCTAATATTGAGTATGACCGAGGTTGAGTTTAGGAATGAGTCAGCAAGTCGTATACTGTCAAAACAAGGCCATACACACCTATAGAGGGAGTGTACGGCCGTACACATGGGTGTGCGGCAGCACACTCACTTTTTGACAGCACTCACACTCCTATATAAAGGGTAGACCCCTTTCCTTTCATTCCTTTAACACCTTGTCAGCACACAACACCATTTCTCTCAAAGTTTCTTCAACCTCAAACCCTCCAAAGCTTCAAAAACGTGAGTAATCCATCCCTTAACTTGTTGTGCTTGAAAAACCTCTTGATCTAGGCCTTGAATCATGAAAGTCGCGTCATGTTCTTCATCTCTTTGAAGGAGTGCGACAGCACACACATTTGTGCGACCATACACACACACCATAGGACCACAAACCCATTTCTAAGACCCTAAACTTGTACTACAACCAAGTATGGGCATAGGACACTTCATGGATGCAAGTATGGACCTTGAAAACACCTCAAAGGCACCTTCCATCATGAGTATACGGCCGCACACCCTTTGGGCCGCACATCCATGGCCGTACACACCTTTAAGGTGGCCATACACATCCCTCATGCAATCCTTTGAGGTCCTAACACTTAGTGCAAGTAGTCCCAAGTTCTTAGAGTGGTTCTTCATCACATCTAGTGGTGAAATACCATCATTTGACTCCTTTATGTGTCATTACTTGTTGATTAGGATCAAATCGTGTTCAAGGCTTCGCTTGAACATCCCGCATTCCGTATCGATCCTTCATTCAAATCACCCAAGGTGAGTTCATACCCCTATACTTTTCCGAGTTTTTTTTATGTTTTCAGGGGGGAATACAAGCAAAATTACAAGGAAACTTGTGCTCAAAATATATTATTTTGTTTAAGATGATCATATTTCAACATGCTTTTGAGACGGAAAACAGTTTTACCAAACGATTAAGAAATCAACTCGTAGAAACAGTTTTCAAAACTAGAACAATGAACTTGTGAATCATATAGTAAAATGTATTATTTTATAAAGGATTCATGCAAATCATAAACAGGATTTTCGGTATTATTACTTGTAAATTTGTTAGGCTATGTTTGAGACACGTCCTTGGTAACACTCACCACAAGAAACAGAGCGGAGGACTAGCACTCGTGACCAGAATCTCTTGTAGGGAGAGCGTGACTGTTGTGTATAGATCTATACGGGACTGACAATCCCGCACCTCACTGCTAGCTACAGTTGGACCGGCAGGTCTGCGGGTGACAAAGTCACAACCTAGATAACAGGAATTTACTTTTGTAATAATGAATCAAATGAACTAACCTCAAAGTAATAACCGATAGATTACTAGAGGGTATTAATAATAATATCTTCAGGACTTAGTTCATCACGGTTTTCTTTTATTTAGTTTTAAGACTAATATACCTCTCTGGGTGTAACCAGTGTTTTTAAAAGAAAACTGCCTTTATCGACACGAGTATGGTAGATACGTGCAAACCTCAGTTTAAAACGGATAATCAACCATCAACCTTTAGGAAAAATATAGGATTTTCCCGGGATAAACCGGCAACTCAAAACGGATTGTTTTACAACCAACGGATATTCATATTCATTCCACGACTCCTTGGATTGTACATGTCGTGTATGAATCTGGAAGTCATGAAAGGAATGGGTTTTCAAACATGCTTTTCATAAGAAAATATAGGATTTTCTTGAGGAACACTTTTCAAAAGAATCAAAGAACATTTTTCCACAAAAACCAAATGCTTATGAACTCACCAGCTTTATGCTGACTTTCAAACTGCTTGTATTCTCAGGGAATTAGTAGACATGTACGTCCAGGAGTTCGGAGAAGTCGAAGCGTTAGTGTCGTGTATTTCTATTTTATTTTTGATATGAACAAAAACTATGTATTAAACAATGTAAGCCTTTTTCATATATGTATTCAATGTCTGGTTGTGTTTACTACGCTTGCTATGATACAATTGTTGTGATACTACGCATGACGTCAGCCATCCCCGAACGTTTCCGCCGTTCCGGTTTGGGGGTGTGACAGATTGGTATCAGAGCCCTTGTT